ATTCTCAGAGGTCGCAAGATGCGCAACTCTGAGGTTCGTTACATCACCGCGATCATGATTCTATCGTGTCTTGCCATCGTTGGACTTGTGACAAGCCTAATTCAAATGTTTCACAAGCACCCGGCGGCAGAGATCGACGCCTCACACGAATCACAACTCTCTGTTGATATTTGTGAGAGCATGAATTGGCGCCGGGAATGGCGAACGCTCCCAGACAAGACTAAGATATCATACACTTCTGCCGTCCTTCGGCTGATGTCCATGCCATCCAAGATCGGATTCAATAACCAGTCGCGGTACGACGACTTTCAGTTCATCCACGGCATGACTTTAGACTATGGTATTCAACCTCTCGCATCATCGATTTGGTTCGCGCGGTTAACAGATTCGCAAGCACATCGGCCAGGTGTCTTCCTAGCATGGCATCGCTTTTTCATCAAGACCTTTGAAATCGTCCTTCGTCACGAAGCTGGGTACCGTGACTATCTACCGTGCGTCTCGAGTCTAGTAGAGCTATTTAGTATATTGACTAATTCGGCTTGACAGGTACTGGGACTGGACGCTTGACTACAAGAACTTGTCTGCCGCACCAGTGTTTAATGATGTTACCGGCTTCGGTGGAAATGGCGACCCAACTTCCAACGAGCCCTCTTGGCGAGGTTACTGCGTCACTACTGGACCGTTTGCTTACCATCAAGTGCCTTATCGTTACGTGGAAGTCGCACCCCACTGTTTATCGCGGGACTTTGCGAAGGATGACTTCCTGAGTACCATCAACTGGGGCATCTCACCAGAGTCAATCGGCGAGTTGTTGATCCAGAACAAGTTCTCGCGCTTTACCAACATGCTAGAAAGCCAGAGCATGCATCTTCCGATCATAAAGTTCATCGTGGGTGACTTCTCGACACGTGCAGCACCTGGCGGTAAGTGTAGTTAGTCGTCCACAAAAAGTGTTCAGGCCTTGCTGACGAACTCGTCGCTCAGAACCACTGTGGTTCTTGCATCATGCACAGATTGATCGACTTTACTGGTTGTGGCAGCAACAAAATCCTCGGTCGCAGATTCCAGAATTCGACCCCTTCAGCGATTTCATTCCCGAGGTGACTCTGCCTGATGTGACTGGCGACGAAATGATGGACATCGGTGCGTTGAGCAAGAAGATGACAGTCAAGTCTATGTTTGATACAAGGTCGGACTATTTGTGTTATGGTTACAAGTGAAGACTGAATTTACACTTGTGGTCGCTAAGAGAGGGAGAAAGATTGATCGAATTTGTCGATCGATATGAGACTGTGTAGTCATTGCTTTGTGATCTGGCCATGTTTTGACATGACGAGCCATACCACTAGTTAGTAAGACATGTTCATTCAAGACATCATCTCAAGGATGATATCTTGTCTTGTCCATACTCAGTCTCCCAAGCTTGTTCTACTGCGCTCCCTCCATGCAGATGAAGCGAAGTTTTCTCGTGAACATCAACAACGATTCTCTCATTGCAGTCAGTAGGTGTGAGATTGGAAGTATCATAGTCTTGAGTAGCTCACCAACTCGAATGTCGATGCCTCTGTCGAGCTTTCAACTGATGTGTGACACACTTCTGCTGTCATGTTCATTGCTCAAGAGCCTTCGTTGAACTCAGTCGCTAATTGGAGCTGGGGACGAGTCTGACGAGCAGTTCCACACAACATCGCAAATCCCTCTGAAATCAATCATCGGATAATCTGAGGGCTTAGAACTCACTCGCGGTCAAGATCGTGGTGGACTGTGCAGTTGATTAAGGCACTTTCGTAGGCTTCTGTCTCACGCGTGAGCACATCAAAGATGCTCGAGCTGCTTCGGCAAAGACCTCTTGAGCGTTTCAAGACTTTTAATGACAATTGCGCTACTGGCAGATGGTTATCTGCCGTACTTGAGCAAGGCATAAGTTGGGAAATCCGATATCAGACAGTTTTTCAAATGCATTATGCGTTGCTGCATGTTTTTCAAGAAGCTCTTATCTTCAGAACGTACGTGACCTCAATGAAGAGTTCATGTATCATACCTGATATCAATCATCCCATAGCGGATAGTTCATACGACTAAGAAGCGTACGTGACTCAACACTGCAAGAACAACGAGAGTTCGCGTTGGTGGGCTTGATCAGTGTGAAAACTCATGCCGCGTGCACCCTTTGGTACCCACGTTTCCGATGTAAGGTGAAACATCAGACATCGAGCTCATTGATGAATCGAATGCGCGAGGGCGAGCGATCGGGCAAGACTACGCCTACTAACGAAGGACGAGTTCGAGACACGACAGTGATGCCAGCTGTCGAGGTCTGCCTCCAAGATTGTCTAAACTTTGGTTACATGACCACCGATCAACCAGACCCTCGTCGCGAGCCCTTGATCAGTTCGACTACCTTGTTTGCCGGGTATTACCGAAATGGAGAAGCAATCGCTGAGAGTTTCACGACCGATGGCTGGTTCCGCAGCGGAGACATCTGCGGATTCGATAGCCTAGGCCGAGTCCGAGTGGTCGACAGGCGCAAGAACATCTTGAAGCTCGCCCAAGGAGGGTATGTCTCACCTGAGCGTATCGAGAACATTCTACCTGGAGAACTTCTTTGGGTTTCTCAGATCATGATTCATGGCGATAGTGATAAGTCGTTCCTTGTTGCTGTTATCGGCGTTGAGCCAGCGACATTCGCAAAATTGTTAAACACATTATATGCGGATTCGCCCGTCACATCACCTAAACCCTAAGGTCAATTGAGACCGACCTTGGAGACCAATATCCTTCGGGGGTCGACATGGACTTTGTCGACGGACCTGTAGATCTCTTGGAAGAGGGTTCATTACATGTTGGATNCCGGCCAAGACGGAGCACCGAGTGCAGGGCTGTTTGGTTCCTTTCAGCCTGCATTCTTGAGTACTACTCATGACTCCTCTGCTGCTATGGCTGTCTCTGCACTCGCCCTATCAATGTGTTCCAGATGGCGCGTGGGATGAGAAGGGNAGAATGAAAGAAGGGTTGCCAACATCTTGGGACGGGCTATCTACAGATTGTCCAATGATCTGCAGATAGAAGACAAGAGAAAAGATGATACCACCCTATTGGCGACACTCACTCTGCAGTTCCACTCCAGCTCTGAGTCCCTATTCGGTTCCAACAAAGCTACTATTGTCCATCATCTAGGTGCGCTTGCACTGGTAAGAGGCTTGGGGCTTCCGGAGTCATGGGGCTTCCTTGCAAATCAGTTTGTTGCTTATATCCTCCATGTTGAGGTTGCAGCCGCGATCTGAGAACATCGTGAAGTCCATGCCGAGCTCTGCTACTGGAGTTCTGTCATGAAAGCCACCTCCGTAGAGCCCGACGGCCATATTGACGCTCTCGGTATAAGGGTGGCTGATGTTCAATCCCGGTCTGATGGCGTGCTCGGGAGTACTGATGCAGACTCCGTTTCGACCTCTTCGCCTTCTTTGCTGGAGACAATGTTGAGTGAGATTCAAGAAATTGACAAGTGTCTTGTGCTATGGCAAGAACGAGTGTCGCATTGCTGGGGACCATTCTGCTGGTCTTCGGAATATGTCGTCTTTCCTCCAATACAGACGTACAAAGGAGCGTATCATGTGTATACCTCAATTCGGGCAGCCAGGCTGATCAACATCTGGCGGAGTTACAGGCTTACGCTCTCACTACTGTCTCTACAATTGATCAACCGACATCGAGGACCGCGACTTTTTGACCTTGACGAATCCAACACCATCAGAAATATAATTGTGAAAATTATACAATGGCTTGTTGATGGCTTTTGCGCGTCTGTGCCCTGCTTTCTAGGCAATAGGACCAGAATTGGCACAGTGTTGGACTTCGACGATCCAGCCTGGAGATTCCCTACCTGTCACGATACGGGTGAGCTGCATGACCAGAAGGGCCAAGCAGCACACCCAAAGGGGCTTGAGTCGACAGAANGCCATGCTATCGCTCAGGGTGTATGGCTTATCATGGGCGATCTCACACAGTTGGTCGCGTTCTTCCTGAGTACAGCGAGTCTTACTTCCCAGCTACCGTTGAGAAGCGGTCAACTGTCCTGGATATGTCATCAATACCTTCGGAATCTCTCATTGCTTTCCGTGCAATGGACGCTCAACTCGACACTTGAGCAACAAATTCTTACTGGTGTTTCTCTACCAGTAGAAGAGGACCTGATATCACAGGCGTAAAGATGTGTTCAACGAGTCCAATAAGGCCTGAAGATGGTTGGCGACTAACTTGCAACGGCCATTCACCTGATATACCGCGATAGCTTTGGGCAGCGGATATGATATACATCTTGGATCCAGTCAATTACATTACCATCATTTCCTGGTTTAGCTGTGTGACGTGAACGGTCTGTGTCAGTGATGATTCAGATTATTCTTCGGATCGTGCAAAGATCGGGGAGAGACACTAGTAGAATGTGTCGCAGAACAGCAAAACATGCGATGCTCAGCGCCTTCTGCCTATAGCACCTGTGCCTCGGAGATCTGCCATGGGAAGTCAGACGCCACCACTATAAGTTAAACATGCAACGGCGCCAAAGTCGTGACGAGTTGGCGCTGCAAACGCTATCTCAAGTCCCGATAATTCTGCCGGTGTACCATGTATTTCTGTTGCCATCATGTACCATCAACAACCGATATTCGCAACACTGTGCGGAAAGCTCGCCGTTGGCAATAGAGCCACCGCGGAAGGATCATCATTTGCTTGGCCGCCAGAAGCGCTGCCTGGAGCGACACATGTCTTGTCGTTGCGGAATTACGGCGTTGCGACGACAATTCACAGTCAGTTTCTGCGGTTCAACATCCGATGACGGTCACCTACGTCGAACAGGCAGCGACAGCGGTAGTGTGAACAGTGTAGCAAGTCAACCGAACAAGCGACATCCACCGTGGCCCCCAGAATAACTCACTGTTGGTCGCAACCCTGACGTTCTAGAAACCACTACTTTGTACTTGTTTACACGACTTTGACTTGAGACCAATACCATGGATGACCTCTGTCAACTCGACGAGTCCATCTTCCAAGAAGACGAGAGTCTAGTTGATCGGATGGAACGACTAAAACCAAGATTCGACATGACCAACGCCTCCCTCACAGCGATCTGTGGAAATCCACCCATTCCTATCCATTCACAAGATGGCGAAGCTACTCAGGACGAAGCTATCATGTTCAACCTACTGATCGACCTTATCAATGTATCGGATCTAGGATATGTGTGTTCTGGCTATACGTTTATCGCAACCATCGCAAACTGATTCACGAAACAGAACCGAAGCACCGCAGCCTCAGCTGCCGCTCGTGCGACGAATGCACTCTTTAACTCCATGACCCCAGATCCATTGCTGCGACAGACAGAAAAATACTCATATGGTGCCCTATGGACAATTTATTCCGAGCTGTTCAACTTTGTANAACAGATACCAGTCGAACACCATGCGATGCAAAGGCTAGTTGACTGGATTGCTGAGTTGAGAAAGATACACGTACAGACGTTACATATCTGGGGCAAAGACATTGAATTGTGGGAAGGCTTGCCGCTGCTGAATCCGGAGTGGGTCGAACTGGTCGAGGAGTACGGTGTATCACCAGAGGATATCAGGAGCAAGAGGTTCAGAATCTTTCGAGATCTGTTGGAATCGAGTGGAGGTTACGCTCTCTACAACTATTGGAAGTAGTGGTGCAGACGCCGATACTGTCTGGAACTTTCAGTAAATCGAAGAGCAGCTCAGTTGATAAGCAAGAGTGTCAAGATAAACATGGTTACAAATTATGACTATGATGAACGATCAAGCTAGTTTGAGATCGTCAGGAATATGATGTGCTTCGCCGACTGCTTCTTTCAGCGCAAGCACAAGCTCGTCCACGCCTGACAAGAACCCGAGATATGCGCTCATACAGACAGTATAGCCCCTCACACCCTCCTTCTGCAACACTTCTATGGTCAAGTTTTCGACAGCTGCTCCGTGTCCATGCTCCAAACATTTCTTGAGCAGTGGCGTTGGTAGTCGCGCAGGCAATGGGTCACCAGTCTTCAGACTCTGAGCCATGATGCCAAGGACAACCATGACATCTGCGATGGCACGGTGATCAAGAATACCAGACGCAATGGCGAAACGACGGCGAAGTTCGGGAGAAAGTGTGGCGGCGCGGATGTGCAGATGCGCAAGCTGATAGTTGATGAACTCAGCGATCGACTTGATGCGACCGCAAGTTGTCGAGTCGAAGACGCTGGACGACAGCTCGAACTTCAGACTGCCGATGGGCCCGCCCAGGGCGCTCAGCTCGCCGGCGACCTGGATGGTCACCGCCTCGACTGCGACAGTGTGTTTGTTGTGAGCATCAAGGTCAGACCATGATGACAGCAGTGCAGCGTAGTGATCGGCCTCGCGGTCCAGTACACCAGAAAGCCTGCGGGCGATGTTTCGTGATAGAGACGACGGCCAGGGAAGCAGCGTCACAATAAAGCTGATAGCAAATCCGACAAGCACCAGGACTGTACGGCGCCAGAAAACCTCATAGCCATATCCGGGGTTGCCGTAAGTGGGAAGATGAGTGTCGATGTACCCGTAGCCGATTACCAGGATGGTAGTGGATCCACCAATCATGACTGCTTGTATGAGCTGAGGTGGCGTGTACAGGCGGAACCACATGAGGATTACTGAGTAGACAGCGAGTACAGCTGCGAGGCCATAGGGATTTCCGGGACCGTTTCCACTTCCGATGTACCTGATTTGTTAGAGACTCTTACATGTGATTGAATGTGCGTTTGGTTCTTACCATCCCAGCATTCCGAGTACACCTCCAGCGATGGTACCAAAGATTCTGGTTATAAATGCGAAGTTGAATTCGGCAGAGAAAGTCGCTGTACCTGTCTGCGCCATAATGAGCGCCCACAATCCCTTCTCGCGATAATAGAAGCCCGCTGATGTCGTACAGGCTGCAGGTATGGCAGCCGCAAGAGTAGCGACAAGTACACGCAGAGCGAAAATGCCCTCGTCGTTGCTCAACCAATGTCCGAAGCCAAGGATCATGGTAGACAACTTGTTGCGCTTTCTTGTCGGCTTGTGCACTCGCTTGAAACTCTGCTGTACTTCCTCGATGGTTGCCTTGTCGGCTTGGGGCATGTCGTCGACCGTCGGAGCTCCGATGGCTGGTGCACGAGAGCCACCGAATGCCCAAGCACCGAATTTGCGCAGGCCTGTTGGAAGCCACAACCGCACCGTCGCTCGGTCCTTTTCGAGGAGTGTGATTTGCTCTAAAGCTCGTTCAAGAGCTGCAGCCAAGATCAAAAGACGATCCTCAAAGTTGAATCCGAAGAACATGCCAACCAGTTTGTGCCTTTCTGAGGTCTGACCATGGAATCTACCATTCTCGTCGAACAGGTGTTCATGCGAAGCGAAGAGCGCCTCGTTGGCGACGTTGGGAAAGTGGAACTTCTCGTCGCGCAGACGTTGGAGCACATCTACGTGCGACTGTCTCATTTGAGCAAACTGTTCAGCAGACAATCTGCCGAACCATCTTTTACTGTTGTTCTCGTGGATACTGTGAGCTATGGCTCCAAAAGCGTCTTTACAAGACTCAAGCAGAGGATTGCTAGCTTGTGATAATGCTTGATATGAAGCAGCAACAGAACGGCCGACTTCCGGATCGCGAAGAGCGTCGATGAGGTTGAGACTCTGCATGACTTGATGTTTGCCATACATGTGTTTTNNCTTCTCTTTCTCTTCCGCTTGAGCCAGCTCCTGTGTCCTGACATCGTTCGATGTGAGGTGCTTCATTCTCTCCCGGGAACGGCCTTGGAGAATCTCAAATGCGAGCAGACTCATAGAGCCAATCATGACGCGGCGGATAGGCTCTCTCAAGGAAGCGATGTCTTGAGCACTCCAGTGACCAAAGGAAAGATCGAAGGACAGGAAGCCAAACGAAGGTTCCAAAGCAGCCCAGCCTCCAAGAACACCGGCTCTCAAAGCCTGCATAGATTCCATGTGCGATGTGTCGGGATAATTCTCAAGGAAACTTCGAGTGAGATCGAGAGAGCCGGCCATGGATGTGACAAGCTTGTGCATACTGAAGAGCGTCATGTGTGAGGTTGACTCTGGGAAGATGAGGATGGAGCAAGCGAAGCTGATAGCAACACCGGCGGCGGCTGGTTTGATGAGCACTTGAGGAATGGTACCTTGGAACGAAGGGAGTAGGGGACCGATGGTGAGGAAGATGTCAGTGATGATCCAGGCAAAGATGGCGGTCAGCGTGAGTTTGGGGACCTTGATTCTGAGCCTTGCCATGAGATAGACAAACAAGCCCAACATGCAGAAGAAGGTGACGGTGATGCGCGTGTCCAGCATGAAACCGTTGTAGACAAGGACGCTTGCGGGAGAGTAGGTCGTCGCGCCCGTATTCCTCGCGGCCTCTATGCCCAAGGCCTGCAGGCGAGCCCGAGTCTCTGCTTGTGGTCTTGTCGCCTGAGCTGCTTTCATTGCGATGACGCCCCATGCCCATCCCAGAGCCATGCCCAACATCAAAGTGAAGCCGCCCAGCAGAATCACCAGCACGACACCGGAAGGAGGTAGAAACATGATGGTGATGCAGGCGAAGAATGTGGCATTGCCGAATGTCCTCAATGTGGGATCGATGACGATGAGAAGCGAGGCCGCCCAGAATGCGACCGAGCAGCGGAACAGGATCTTGAGGTCGCGCGCATTGAAGTGGTCGAGAAATGGTGGAACCTTGCTTTTCTTGTGGCCTGGTGATTTTGCTGTTGCACTTGTGTTGGTCTTTTGCAAGGACGGCGAATTGCCGTTGCGCGACTCTTTCTCTGTCGCCGAGCCACTGGGCTCACGTTTGGAAGACATGGTCGTCTGTCGCAATGCTTGGGGCACGCCGAAGTGTCTATGTCGTCGCGTCGAGGGTGTTGGAGAATGCCGTCGCGACCCGGACGGTCGTTGTTGTCGTCCAAAATCCAGCAGGCGCCGAGCTCCAAGTCGTCGCTCTGACGGTCGCTATACAGCTACGGGCAGTTTCAGACTGTTTGACGGTCGAGCGCGATAGGAAGAGGATGCGGATAAAGGAACCAGGCTATGATGGATACCTACAAGCAGCGATCCCAATGGGAGCTGAAACCTACTCGACTGTTTATCATGGCAACTGCCAATCTTCGCTCAGATGATACCAAGCTATTCCGAGAAGTCTATTTGTGCATCAGACGATGCATTCCTTGGGTAAGCATAATGCAGCTCTTGTAGGTCTGAGAACCGCTTCGACAGCCATCACCTCACCCGATCAAAGGCTGAGGCGAGTGCTCGTCGACGCGGCGCATCATCTGGGTCGGATTTGTGAGGGAAGTGGGTGGTTGTGCGTGAGATTCGGGTTCGTGGGCTTGCCGAGCTGGACGATTGATGCATAAATATTCATAACACGTGCTCGGATACACAACCAGCCGGATGCCGGCCCGGTTGCAATCACCTCCCGAGCATCTCCTTCGCACCGACGTCCACCGTTTGACTCAACAGAGCTTGACCAAATTCGATTGTACCTGGATGCCTCTGCAAAAATCGGTGCGAGCATTCGGTCTTGGCACAATGAGAACGACTGTCGCTTCTGATTAGAACCCACACTCACTACAGCTTCCTCGTAGAACTCATTCGTCTGGTCCATCGCAACCTCCCTTAAAAGACTCATCTCACCACTCAATGCCGCTGAGGGAACCTTAGACTTGCCATCACGTTTCAATATGGCCTGGTTGTCCTTTGCGNNGTCTTGTGGGAAAGCACGATACAAGTCAAAACCGGCTCTCATGGCACCAGGCTGACAGAAACTGGAGCCGTAATGTTCGACATCTCTTGGCCCAATGCCTGCAGGGTTGAAGCACAGTCTGTCGTAGAAATGCTTGATGTAAATCTTCTCTTTGCCCTGGGTGAGTATCTCGGGAAGGTCGAGTTGTTGTTGGAAGGTGAAGTGCCACATTCCGGGAGAATTCTTAAACCCTGATTCGTAGGGNGTCGAGCCGGGATGTGGGCATTCACCAAACATCACTGAGCGAGTGTGGTCCGCATGACTTGCAGCATAGGCATGTGCGACCATGCCGCCGATGTCTTGTTCGACAACATGAATCTTGTCTTCGGTGCCTACGGATTCGTCAGTCGTCGCCCAAATACAGCATGGTTTGTTAGCANNGGTCGTACCGAGATGATCATGGACGACCTTGTATAAACTCTCGGCCACTGTCACTTTATCGTAGCCAGATCGGGGATGATTGTTGTCGCCAGTACCTCGATAGTTTGGGGCAATCACTCTGTAGCCAGCATTCGAGATTGGTGCAATGACGTGTCGCTATTGATACGAAGTGTTTGGGTAGCCGTGGATGAGCAGCACGGTGCCTTTTGCAGACTTCNNGCCTNNTTCTGGAGGGCAGTCAATGTAATGAATCCTGACTTCCTTGGCCTCGTCAACGAAGGCAAAGCCGTGTTGCCATCGCTCGTCGTCAATGTGTGTAGGATTGAGGGATGGCATGTTTGGATGATCAGAATGGGAGATGAACGGCTTAGATTGCTCTGTAATCACCGGCGACCTCGAACATATAGCGATGACGGTGTACCGAGATAGACATCGATGCGGGGATCTTCCATCAGGGTAGCTGTCAAACAATTCGTGGGGTCGAGTGCGGGGCTGCCGAAACTCGGAGAGCTGACGCTCTCGGCCACGGATGGTAATGCAACGGCCTTTGCGAAAGGGCAGTTTTCAGCGCCGTCTGTTCTCTGTCTGGTCCCTAGTTTTCTGCGACAAACTCTCGATATGCAGTTGTGCTTTTCTCCGCAGCAGCAATCTGGGAACTTGCGCTCCGTATGCCATGTTTAACAGTTACACTATCAGAGACTCCTATCGGCATGACCGAGCCACGTCTTGTCGGCAGACTAGACATGTTTTCGAGGATACATGCATCTGAGCAGTACACTTAGATTGCAATATGCAACCCATTGAGAGTCCGAAATTTGGTCATAGCAAGAGACAACTTCTTTGGGATACAAATTCTTATGCTCGGCCTACAGAAACTATTCCAAAATCATAAAGATGGTCAGGGTAGGGTTAGGGTTAGAAAACCCTGCAGCAACTGGAGCGATCGGTCTTGCCCGCCGCGTTTGATATGGCTAGAAAAGACTCGGGAATTCCTCACTGGTTGAATGCACTCATCACCTACTGGAGACTTGGACGCATATTGCGCTTGCCGTGCCTGTTCTAGCTCATTGACGACCCCAGGATCCCCAGACCCCGCATCTTCTCACGCGATCTAACCGTAACCTTGTACATTTACTGAGACTGTACGGTTCGCCTTCACCTGGCACAGAAGCATATTCAATTACTGTGGGCCCCAGATCGCACCTGCGCCAGATAAACTATTTATACGGCACTGAAGTCCCCCTGATTGATACCATCATCAGGTCCCGCTCGACTTTCCATCTACATGTTCTACATCAAACAATATGGCGAGTTACCTCGATGGCATACAGGGCAAGACGTTCTACAGGATCATGAGTGCAGCTTGTGGTTCTGCTTTCATGCTTTACGGTTAGGATGCTGGCGTCCTTGGAGGTATCCAGGAGACTCCTCAATTTCGTGCAGCAATTGGAAACCCACAGGGAGCTTTCGTAAGTCGTCTTGAATCATGATCCCATTGCTAGACAACATCTGACAGGTTCTTGTTTGGCTAGATCATTCCCGTCATCGCCTCCATCTACAATCTTGCTGCGGGAATTATGTCTCTCTGTGTCAGTTTTCACGGTATGCAGATTGGCAGAAAAGGTACCATTCTGCTCGGATGCTTGCTCATCTGCATTGGTGCGCTGCTGCAAGCTTCGACATACTCTGTTGGACAGATTATTGTCGGCCGTATCGTTACCGGAGCTGGTATCGGAAACATTGCTGCAGCAGTGCCAACATATATGGTATGTGTCCATTCATCTCGCAGGTTACATAGTTGCTGACCATGGATGCAGGNNGCCGAAATGTCGCTTGAAGCGAAGGAGAGAGGACCCGAGGTCTCCTACGAGCTCGCTCTCTTAATCAGTGGTGTCGCTCTCGCATAATGGATCGATCTCGGCTTTGTACAAGGCCTTGATAGACATCCTTGGCTGTGGCGGATTCCTCTGGCATTCCAAAGCTGCTTTGCAATCTTCTCCGCAGTCTTGCTGTTCATGCTGCCCGATGCTCCAAGATGGTACTATGCCAGAGGTCATGAAGCTCGTGGCGACAAAGTTCTGGCTCGTCTACACGCATTGCCTGTCGCACACGAGTCGGTGCAGGCTGTTAAAGCGGATATCATGGCATCGCTCGAGGAAGAAGATGACACTGGCAAGATCAGCATAGTCACTCTGTTCTGGGATAACACTGAGCTGCAGTTCGGTCATCGTTTGCGTACATCGTTCTTGATTAACTGGGTAATTACATTTCTCTACAGTCTCCTGTAGGAGTTGCGTGCTAATCAACAACAGGCTCAATAATTCCTTGGTATCAACATGCTGGTGTAATTCTCCTNNACGCAGATCTTCACCAACCTACACTACTCTCCGCTACTTTCGGGAATTCTGGCTGGTGTCTTGACCACATGCTTCGCTGTCGCATCATTCCCGCCAATCTACTAAGCTGAAAAAGTCGGCAGACGTGCTATGATGATCTGGTGAGTTCCCACAAACGGCCCATTGGAGGATGGACAGAAACCTAATTCACATTGTTCTTAGGNNTCTGCTCTCGGCTGCGGCGTTTGCGTGCTCATCTACGTTCTCCTCACGACGCTCCCACCCAGTAAATCCTCTGTCGGTATTAACTGGGCTGCTGTCGCGATCATCATTCTCTACGAAGTGGTCTTTGCGTTCGGCTGGCTAGGTACTTGCTGGGTGTATGGTCCGGAAATCGCTCCTCTGAAGTATCGTCACGTTGCTGGCAGTCTTGGAGCTGCAGGTGAATGGTTCTCTACTTTCGTCATGGTCTTCGGAGGTGGCACTGGTATCAACGCTGTCGGGCCCAAGATCTTCATCTGGCCTCTGCTGTGTTGCTTCCTTGCTGCAGCCTATGTTTACTTCTTGTGCCCTGAGAGTGAGTCATCTCCATGATGTTGTTCCTGGTGTGTGGCAAATCATACTGACTGCTGTGAACAGCCANCCGGAAAGACCCTCGAAGAGATCGATGCTCTGTTCGCTCGTTCCCCCGAAGTACGCGAGAGACTGGAGCGTGATATTGCCGCATGCAGAGCAGGAGGCATGCCACCAAGCATGAAGCTCTCGCCACGCGACTCGAGCGACATGTCAAAGATGGATATATCGACCGTCGAGAAGATTTGATTCCAACTAGCAAGACCTATAACTAACAATGCTCTTGGTAGTTAAACAGTATTTAGCAAAACAAAGCAAGGCAGGATCCTCATATTGCTGATCTTTTTTGTCTCTAAACATGTAGGCCACTCTTTTACCTTAGACTAAGTTCTATATTATGTATAATCTATTTATAAGCTTAGTATTTAATAAAATCAGTACTAGAACTAGAAATATGTTTTAGTTTAAATGCGGTTTTCTATTATAGCTAACTATCTTAAAAAATTATAGATTATATAGTTAACCCTTTAAAAAAGTATTTAATAAGTAAAGTAAGTAGTATATATTAGTATATAGTTATTATAATCTAGTGTTAAGCGTACCGGCGTCTAGCTTATATACTGCCGACTAAAACTATATTAGGAATCCTACTCTAAGGATTCTGCTAAGATAGGTCCTCTCTATAAAGCACTCTATAGTAGGTAGCTACCTAATGCACTCTACTCCCTCTAATCTCTTACTCCCTTTAATTTAGTTAGAGTAGATAGAGTAATAGAGCATATAGAGTAACATATATATATAATTATTAGTTAGTAAGTATATAGGTAGGTAGGAACTTACTAGGGGGTCCTACGTTTAACTTAATTAGTTATTCTAATAGTCCCTTTAGTATATACTACTACTTACATCTACTTTACTACGCTTAACACTCCTCTTTATAAGTCAAACCCCGTAACTAGTTATTCTCCCTAGAATAGTTAGCTATAATAATAGTAAAGGAACTATTAGAATAATAAAAAGCAATATAATATAGATGTGTTATATAGGGTTAATTATTAAGTAACAAGCTAAAAGTAACGCTTACTAAGGTTAAGAAAGAAACCCTAGCTACTACCTAGCTAGAGTAAGGCAAATAGCCCTAGATCGTAATATAAGTGTCCCTACTATACCTAATCCAGCGGATCTTTCGGTTAAAGAACTAGCTTTCTATTAGCTAGACTAGCATTTGCTCTAGTAGGCTAGAACCCTATAACTAATTAAAGCTACTAACTACTTGCATCTTTTATTCTAAAAGCTATTGTCTAATGTCTAACAGCCGGCGGAACCAAGAGAGTAAAACAAACAAAGAGTAAGGACTGTTTCCCGTAACGGTGTTCCGTTAATTGCCTATCTGTCGGAAGATAGGGCTTCTTTCATGCCTATGCGGGGAACACGATAAGGCTTAGGAGGAGCTCCTCTTGAAGAGACGCACTTCCAATCGTCTCCCCATCACACCACGCAACATCCCACCTCCCACATTGGACCGTGCAATCCCATATTCCAACTCCGCACGAGACCAAGACGGGTTCGACCGAAAGCTTCGAGTCATAGCGCTATTGATACATTGACAATGGAGAAACGAGCGTTACAGCCATTTCAATGCATTACATGCCAGTCCAGGTTCACTCGACATGTTCGTAAAGAAAGCCTTTCAAGGTCTGAAGCTCTGCTCACAGACGCAAGGNAAAACCTTAAACGACATCTTCTACTGCATCGTGCATCTGCCAGCAATACGAAGCATCCATGCTTCTATTGCGACAGACTCTTCTCAAGGAGAGACTTGAGGAAGAGGCACATCAAGAAACAGCATCCACAATGCGAACTGGATAGGGACTGCGATAGCGAAGCAGATGACAGCTTGGCAATAAACGAGGTATCGACTGAAGCACCACAATGCCAGGTACGAATTGGGGAACAGGAGGCTGTAAAAATCCCCGCCCACCCTGAAACGAGTCCAAATGGCGTCGGGAGTGAATTATCTGGTGTTTACCAGCCAAATCCTCGAACTCCATCTTTGTCAGGCGATGACCTGGCCAACCTTGAGATTCGATCTGACTCTGGCCCTGTGCCGAACATGGTTCAATTGAACGGTGTCTACTTATCTGAGGCGGAGGAGACACAACGTCAGATGCAAGTCGGAACAGCAGAAAGTGTTATGTATACACACGGACCATTCTCAGGAGCATTGATAAAAAGAGGGTGCGAACTCTTCTTCCGACATGTTTCACCCTTTCTACCTTTCATTCACCAACCTACATTCGACTTCACAAACTTGCCGGAAGCACTGCTCATGGGCATGCTCAGCGTAGGTCTGCAATTTGAACTCGAGGGAGAGACAAATGCGAGTGTCCCTGCGCAAGCATTCAGACGCGGAAGAGAGCTCCTAAGCCGTTTGGAAGTATCAGAAGAGCTGTTGTTCGCAAGAAACATCCATACTATACAAGCTTACCTACTGTTGGAGCTTTATGCCGCAATTTACTCTGGAGGACAAGACACTACTGTCGGGCTACAGATGCATCATAAGTCTGTTGAGGTAAGCTGGAAAAACCAGCTAAAAACCATTCGAAGTCTGACGATAATATCTAGCNTTGTAAGATGTTACGGTCTGACGGAGCCTCTCACCGTCCAATCAAGTGCAACAGAGGATTTGGATGCACTTTGGATACAGTTTGTTCGCTGCGAAAGCCACAAGAGGTAGTCATGTTTCATCGCCTGGCGAATCGACCGAGACTGACAAGCTTTCATANGGACGTTGTATGCTGTCAACCAGCTAGATGTCTATTGGTACGACACACTTTCACAACCGCGGCTCCTTTCCCATCTCGAGATCAAACACGACCTTCCATGTTCCGAACAAGTTTGGTCATGCGCATCCTCAACTCAGTGGGCTCACCAAGCATTGACTCGACAGAGCTCGAGATCGCCGACAAAATACGTCACGACCATACAGGATTGTCTCTCACCGACTACTGTCTTCGATGTCTCCACTCTAGAACCCTATGGTGCTTTGATGGTTGTGCTCTTCTTGCTCAGTAGTGCTCGAGAGTTATCTGGCTGGACAACAATGACTGGCAGAATCTGCTTTGAGCGATTCGACGCCTTGAATGCAAGTCTTTTGGCTTTCGAGCCTCTGACAGAGAAATTTNTGGATGACGATCCAATGGCTGTTCTCATGAAATCGACTTGGCATATGGCCATGATCGAATTACTACACTGGTCGCATACCCACACTAATGGGGTCGTAGAGGCTAGCCTTGACGCGGCGTTTGCGGCGGCGTGAGTGCTCTTCTTCGTTCTTCCACCAGCATTTACCGTGGCTGACAGTTAGCAGTNNACACATCTCAGCATGTCACAGGAGATCTCGCCGTCCATAGAGGCCATCGCTTTACTAGAGTCGCATATCAACTACTTCATACAACTGCTTAGTCACGAACATGATGTCTACGATGAGGCACCCTGGGTGACCGTCTTTGCGTTCAAAGCAGCTCTGATAGGGTGGCAGCTAGTATCGGCGGAGTGCTGGAAGCCCGCTGAGGTCATTGGTTCTGTTGATAAGTGGGACATGCGTCAATGGATGAATAAAGTGTTTGAGCGAAGGAAGAACTGGTGCATTGGTCGACTGGTAACGAATAGTTTGAAAGAGCTGGATGATGCGGCATGAGCTGATCGCGATGCTGAACACTAGTTCGCACTCGGATGATTTTACTAAATCACATGGACTGCTGCCATTGTCAAGTATCGAATCCATAGTCGCTACCTGCAAGTCTCTACTCCGAATCCTATTGCCATACCTATCAAGGACCAGTCTCTCATAGACCTTCGTAGCGCCAGCCCATCTGGAGTTGTTGCTGTGTAATACCATGCTTCATAGCCTTCAGTGCAACCTCCCCACCCTCATCCAACTTCTTGTTCTCGCTCAGAACATAGAACCTATAAGCCGTAATAGTAATCAANAAGATAGATGCCGCCGCGAACAGCGCCCCAAATGCAGGATAATAATGCGGAGCTCCAATAAACAGGTACGACATCCAGATATTTGATATACCACCAATAGCATTTGTCATTGCCACAGCTCCAGCTCTTTTNGCTATAGGTCGGGGAAGATGTTGGTTGATAATTTTGTACAGCATGAGTTGGGGTCCGACGGAGCTGAAGGGCATCAGCATCATTGCTGTGTATCTGGCGCCGGTGTTCAGGGTCGAGAGGGCGATGATGTAGGTTGCGCATGCAATGCAGATGCAGACGATGATTACTCTGTACATGTTGTTCGTGCGGTCTGAGTACCATGTGATGCCAAAGTAGACAATACCGGCAAGCACTGGAGATATTAGTAATTAGGATGAGCTGTGCGTTAAAAATTTAGACATACCATAAGGAGGAGCAGTGAGTAGAAGAGTCTCATAATGACCGTAGCCGAGAGTGTTGACGATTGAGGGNAAGAAATTTGCAATCGAGCCCTGAACTTGCGACATCATGTTCATGAAGATGATAGCGTATAGCTTCGGGTCCTGGAGACCGAGAAGAAAGCCTTTAAGAGTGCCGATATTTTCGTTACCCTCGCTGGCACCGGCCTCCCTCTCGAGTCTCCAGACAGCAAAGTCCCTTTCAACAGGCTTGAGCATGCGTGCATTGTAAGGATATTCGGGTAAGAAGAAGACGCANAAGAGGCCCACGCCGACAGTGGCAGCGCCTTCNACTGGAGAAGTCAGACAATGGACATTTGCAAGGCACAGGGAAACTTACATGATGAAGAGCCATCGCCATCCACGAATACCATGAACACCATCTAGCTTCAAGATACCAGCAGCAATCAGGCCACCAAAAGCATTACTGGGAAGAGTCAGAATTGCTTTCAGATGTGTATTGTGACTTCACATACCCNNAACTTGCTGAGCAATGTATAGACCAGCAAATCTCTTTCCGAGTTCTCGCTTTGTGTACCAACTCGAAAGTAGGTAGATGACACCTGGAAAGAATACGGCCTCGACTGCTCCAAGAATGACTCGAACAGCGAGAAGAGACTTGTAAGTGGTGACAGCGGCTGTAGCAGCAGAGATAGCTCCCCAAATGATGGTCGCAGTACAGATGTACGCACCAGGGCGAGTGATACTGGAGAGGATCAAGTTGGAAGGGATTTGGAATGGCAGGTATCCTACAAACAGAATCGAGACTGCGGTAGCGAAATCGGTTGTGCTCATGTTAAGATCTTCCATGATGCCTTGCAATTTGGCAGCGGCCAGATTCTGGCGATCAACGTCTTGTCTGTATCAGCATTCGTTGAGTCCGAGCTGACGATCAATACTAACANNATTTAGGATATAAAGGATGCCGACGATTGGCATGATGGTGAAATCGGCCTTGCGTTTGAGACTCATTTCAATCTCTTTGAGTTCTGCTTCCGTGTAATGCTGTAGGCTATCGGGCATTGGAACCAGAGGAAGTCCTCAACAGTCCCAATGGCTGCATCTGGAACGACATTCTTGCTGCTAGCCGAGTCGAATTTGGCTGGGAAAGCTTTCGACATTTGGCTCGTTGTATGTCATATGGATGGGACTAGAAAAGGAGTGAAGATCAGGAGGGACCTTATATACAACGACTCGTAGCGTACAACAACGAGGTTTGTGATAAGAAATATGGTTCTCAGCCATACTCGCAAGCAGATGAGTGATTGACATATGGTACAGGGTGTGGTATCCTCTGAATCTCCTCGTTTAGGTCAGCTCCTCTTTGGAAGCCCAAGACAGACCAGATTCGGTATCTGGTGTTGCTCGAGTCATAACGCGTATACGTAAGACCATCAGGCGATAAGAAACGGCTTCTGACGGCTGTTGCGAAGCTTGAGGAAACGGAGGAGCGGTGCTATGTCTGGGGAGAGGCACAATTTCGGGTGCGCTCGGGCGGCCAAGCGTTGCGGCGGCGGCGAAGCCAAAGTGGGGCCGCCCAACGGAGGAGCTCCTCCCCAACTTCTCTCCTCCTCGTCCGCCTCCCAAATCTGCTCCATTCTACAATCAACAAGGGCGATCATCCATCATGGCAGGCAGGTCGAGGGCAGTTGCCAGAAAATATAGAACGACGGGGTTTCCTGAGAAAATCGAATATGTATTTCAACACACTTGACTTCACCAACTCCACCTTCTGCTCACAGTAGTCACACATCGTCAAACATTCATGATGGCCATCCAAACTCAAAACTATACCGCCCACACAACTCCGGTGCAGAACCCTCGTCTTCGACTCTTGAACGCTCTTCGCAAGCATGAATTAGCATTGATGACCTTTATCGCAATCCCATCGGTACGACATGCTCAAATTGTCGCCATGACTGGCCTGGACGTAAGCAAAACCAATTATGTTGGCCGAACAAGCTTGTCTGACATTCGCAGGNGTGTGATTGTCGACTGTGAACACGGCCATATCGGTGACGACTCTATGCATAACTCTGTGGCTGCCATCTCATCGATGGGCGTTTCTCCCATCATTCGTGTTCGTGGTTTCTCACCAGACATCTTGAAGCGGGCTTTGGATACTGGTGCTCAGTAAGTGCTTGGTACTCTTCGCTCCATACCACGGCTAATATAGTGCAGCGGCCTTATGGTGCCTATGGTGAACACAGCTGCTGATGCAGAGGCCGTCGTACGCTACTCAAAGTNNTTCCCCCCTCTTGGACTTCGTGGTCAAGGATCAGCTTTCCCTGCTATCGGTCACGGCTTGACGACACCTGAATACATGAAGACTGCCAACGAGACACTTCTAACAATCGTACAAATCGAGACGAAGGAGGGCGTAGCCAACGTTAATGAGATTGCTGCTGTTCCCGGAGTTGGTATGTGGCATCGTGACCGCTCTACGGATAATACCCTCGGACTAACATATTCTANNGATTATCTGTTCATCGGTCCTAACGACCTTGCACAATCAGTGCTCGGCTACACACCCGCTAGAGGTGACGAGCCAGAATTCGTCGACGCCATCCAGAAGATCGTTGCTGCTGCCAGGAAGAATGGAAAGTGGGTTGGAAGATTGGTCAACGACGGTCCTCTGGCAGTGGAAGCTGCGAAGCAGTTTGATTCTGTCGCCATCACCGGAGACACCAAGGCAATCAGCAATTGGTACACCGCTCAGATTGCATGTGTCAAGGGAAAATAGACAAACACGCTGTATGGAAGCTTTCAAGTCGAATGCTTCGATATTCGTCCAAATGAACGGCGAATGTGTCTCGCGAATGGTCTTCGAGCTACTACGGTAAACTCAGCATAATCAAATGCCGAGATGTCTGAGAACTCTTTGTAGATACATCCTTTATTGCGTCGAATCTAACAAGCTATTAAGATTTTGGCACTTTTAGAATCATGCATTTTCGAGACGAAAATAAAGTCCCGCCTCTTCCAAACATCAGCACGAGATTGTGTGCTGATTGGCCATCTCCCGTCTCCGAGAATCATACCACAGACATGCGTCGTGTCACGTGCTTTGCATTTGGTGGTCTCATCTTGACAAAAGTCAATTATATAGTGTGCCACAGTGCCTGCAACATATAGCATGCTGACAGCATAAAGCTGTCGTGCCGGCTATTTCGACCAAATGACAGGTGCGTGTACTCAATTCTTGGAAGAAATGGAACATACACGTTTAAGGAGATGAGGGAGACGATATGGTAGTCATGAGTAATCATGTTTCAACATACATTTTCTGCACTCTACGCTTGAGCAATACATTCGATCTCAACAATAGTCCCAGCACCCGGTAACGCAGCAGCAGCAATACATGTGCGAGAAGGTGGGTTAGGAGGCAAGAAATCAATATACACCTCATTCATGGCGGCGAAATCCTCCATGTCGGCAAGATAGACTNNGGTACCAATAAGTATTGAATTGCAGAAAGGGTATGTCAACTCACCATTGTACTTGACAACCTGCTCCATACTGCTTCCAGCCAGCTCGAGCACCTTCTTCAAGTTCTTCAGAACAGTAAGAGTCGCTTTCTTGATGTCTGGGTCTGCTGATGTTTGGCCGGCGACGAAGACTAGACCAGGTACCTTCACAGCAGGNGCCTGATGAACTCAGTGAAAGTCTTTTGTGGTTTGTGGTGTTGGCGACTTACAGTTGTGAGGCTTAGGAGGAAACTCTGCGGAGGAAATGAGTTCTCGGGACATGATCTTGGTCGTTGAATAAGAGATTGTTTTTGTGAGGATATGTTTGATAGGTTGGAGTGGTTTGATTGATTGACTACTCTGTACCTACATAATCGTACTTTATATTGATATGTGGCACCACCGGGGTATTCATACAATGTATTACTCACAAGAGGTGTGAGGCGCAATGCGTTATCAAATGTATGCTCCCCCGGATTTGTGTCGCTGGGACATTTGGGCGGAGCTCCTCCCGCCCTACTGATAGGCGAATCCTCCCAGTGTATGGGGTAGTCGATTTGCAATAGGAGCTCGACGCAGCCGGGGCTCCTCCCCGGACGGCGTGTGTTCGTGAACCCTTGGAGGAGTATGAGAATCTGATGGATTTATGGTAGGTATACCAAAGTCGGCACGTCGCAGGATGTTATAAAAGTCAATTTGCCTATGTCCACCATAATGGCAGCAAACATCAGCATCACAAAGGTTTAGCATTTCCAACATGACCAAGACTGCCCTTTTCAACCCTCCCCTCACCATCGCTGGCTGATAAGCCATCTGTTCCACAATGGCAAGTATCTGGCACGACTGATCAGTTCGCGGAGCTGACAAGGTTACAGGATTCCTCCAGCAGCAACTAAGGAGAAGCACAACTTCGCGGAGTTGGAAACTATCGATCTTTCAAAGCTGGATGGTGATGAGGAAGCACAACAAGAACTGGTCGCTGATGTCAAGAGAGCAATCAGGGAGGACGGTTTCCTGTTCCTGGAAAACTACGGAATCAGTCTTGAGCAGCTCCATCGTCAATTCTCCATTGCACACTACCTCTTTAACAACATTTCTGAGGAAGACAAGGAGCGACTTCTGTTCCATCCGTCTACTGGCAGATGGGCTGGTTGGAAGCACGAGTACGGCTTCAAAAGACATCGTCAACAAAAGGATGGCATCAACCAATTCAACTGGTACAAGGAGCAGTGGGAGAACGATGACTTTCTGCCTGCGTGCGTCTTGCCTNTTATGGACGAGATCAGGGCTTTCTCTGAGGTAATCTTCAAACATCAATGACAAAGGCACACTCTGACATAGTGACAGTATTTGACTAACTCGGTCAACCGTCGCCTACTAACACTCTTTTCTCGTGTTCTCGAGCTGCCCGATGATTGGCTTTGGAACAATGTTCAGTCCCATGGCTCTCCCTCTGGCGAAGGATACTTCCGCCATGCTCTTNTCAGACCGGTCAACGAAAAGACGCTTGAAAGGTCGAAGAACATCAGAATGCACGGCCACACGGACTTCGGTCTCACTACCCTACTCTTCTCGGTGCCCATCTCGTGCCTCCAGATTTGGGGTCAAGATGAGCAGTGGCATTACGCTCCATATCGCCCTGGGGCTCTTGTGATCAACATTGGAGAAACCCTCGAGATCGTTTCAGGTGGTCATTTCAAGGCAACCAGACATCGCGTGTTCTCTCCTCCCGCCGATCAGCTCCAGGAAGAGCGACTGTCTATCGTTCAGTTCCAGTCAAGCGTTGGCCATCTGAGAATGACTCCGNCCATCGAGTCGCCACTGATTCAAAGAGAGGGCTGCGTTGAAGATCAGGGCGTCTACAGAGAATTCAAACGAGTGATGGACCTTGGCTTCCCAGTGAGTGAGATCGTCTGATGGGTTGTCTTCGAAATTACTAACACCGTCTAGATCCCAACTAACCAGCAGTGGCGTGAGATCCAGATTGCTGAAGCAACTGATCCTACCGATGATCAGCGTAATAGAATTGGTGCAGACCAGGTCTTAGTAAAAGGAAAATTGATGCAACAGCGTGAATATATGGGTGTTAAGGTACTTCTACCGGTATAGACAAGCATATTTAAATTAGGTTTAATTGTGCTAGTCAAAATTAGAGAACCGTAATTAAGAGGGTTTACTATATCATATTATTCTAAAAGATTTAACCTTAAACATATAAACGTCCTATAATAAGACATTATAACGCCTTATTACGGCATCTAAGTTAGTAGGCTATACCGTATTAGTACCGATTATTAGAATTTTAGGGCTACTATAGAAGATAAAGGGTTTAAGTTAAACCTTTAAAACCCTATATAAAATTAGGGTTAGCGTTAGTAACATTTTAATATACTTCTATATAAGCTATTCTTGCTTATTTAACTACCTTTTATATATAAAAGAAAAAAAAACAGAAGAGAAAGGATAAGATATAAAGGAAAAGTAATAAAAAAAAAAAGATATCTATCTAGTCTATACTATATTCTAGCTAGTTCCTAGCCCGGAGTCTTACTAGAGTAGTAGAGTTTTACTTATCTAGCTACTCTAAAGTGCTAGGACTAAGGGACTTTAGAATTCCTTATAGGTTTATAAGGTCTCCTTTCCTAGGAGGCCTCCTTAGTGTTATAGCTAACTATTCTAGGGAGAATAGGGTTTAGGGTTAGCAGCATTTCGATACGCTTCTATATAAGCTATTCTTGCTCGTCTAACTACTTTTCTATATAAAAACAAAGAAAAAGGGTACGATAAAAAGGAAGAGGGAAACAAAAGAAAAAAGGAAAAGAAAAAGAAATCTATCTAGTCTATACCATATCCTAGCCAGTTCCTAGCCCGGAGTCTTACTAGAGTGGTAGAGATATACTTATCTAGCCACTCCGAGGTGCTAGGACCGAGGGACTTTTGGAATTCTTTATAGGTTTGTGAGGTCTCCTTTCCTAGAAGGCCTCCTTAGCTAAGGATAAACGGCTTAAAAGCTCGGCCTAGGGTTTGGTATTTGAGCTTCTTAGCCCTTTCCGCGGCCGATAGGGTGCTATTAGGGTCCTTCCTAGCGGTTTCCTTACCTAGGGAAATGATGGACACATCTAGGTAGGTGGTTCCCTTAGGGTTGTCGATTCTAATGTCTGTCCGGATTCCTCGGTAGTCTCCTTATGGCTCTAGGGTGACTTTGTTTTGTGGGTCGGTCTGTAGGGCCGTAGTCAACGCCTGGCACACCTTATTATGTTTGACAATTGTCTGTCTAGTCCTAGCACGGCAGGCGTCTTCGTGGGCGAAGGTATAGGCCCTATCACAGTGTCTACAGATGTCCTGGCCTTCTTCAGGGGATGTAAGAAGCCGAATAGAAAGTGCTGCGGCTACGTCCATGTCCGAGAGTAGAAGGGGCTGTGAGGTAGGCATTGCGGATAGCCATCTCCGGCCTAGGAAGGCTGAGTTCTCGATCCGTACGTTCTCTTGCTGTAAAGAGAGCTTCTGCTGTACTCTAGCCAGTCGAGCTCTGTTGAGCTTGTCTATTGCAGCTCGGTAGATGGTTCTAGCAGGGCCAGTACTAGTGGGGTCTAGTTGTTGGTGTTCTAGGGAAAGCTAGGCTGTTGTTGGGTGTCCTGGGCTAGGAGGTAGGATAGGCTTGGTTGTGGTTGTTGGTTTGCTCTATTCCTGCTTCTACCGCGGTCCTGGGAGTGATCCTGTTCCTGTTCTTGTACCTGTTCTTGCTCCTGGCTTCCTAGAGTGGTTTGTTCGTCTAGACCTTGTGTGTCCTCTTCTGTGGCCTTGTCTATGTCCCCTTCTAGGCCGTCCTCTTGTAGGTTGCCTTCTTGGCCTTGTGTAGGCCTATAGCTAGTCTGGGGGTGGCCTTCTATACTAGTGTTGCTAGGGGCTGGCGAGGGTGCTCGGGGTAGGCGCTAGAAGAGTTTTGGCGGTAGGATCCTCTGTAGGGTGATGTCTGCTATAGCCTGTGAGTTTTGGAAGGCTAGCTCGGCCACTTCCGCGTAGAGAGGTATTCCTAGGCCTCCTAGCCTAGTAGGGAGGGCTACTAGGTCCTGGTCTAGTGGTCTTCTATCCTCTGAGCCTTGAAGGTGTTTTATGGTTTCTAGGAGTCTTGTGTCAATGTCTTGGAATCTTGCTAGGAGTCCTTGTGATCCTATGGTCCTAGGAAGGTGTCGGAGTAGTGTAGAGGTGCTAGCCCTAAGTAGGAGGAGTGCGTGTTGTTTTGGTAGGTCTTTTAGCCTATCTAGCACCGTCTGGAGTTCTTCTGTCCTTGTAGCTAGGAATTCGGCCTTCCGTGGCTCTGGCCCTATAAAGGAGCCAAGTATCTTCATTCCCGTGGTCTGTATTGCCGATAGGGGGTGTGTCTTTGTCTTATCTATGTTTAGGGCGATAGGGCGTCTTCTAGGTAGCCTTCTAGTTGTTGTAGGGTGATCTGTTGCCCTGAGATGATGTAGACGTCGTCTAGGTATGCTAGGACGATAGGAGGGGGTCTGTTATAGCCGGTTGACCTCTGTAGCTGTTGTTGTAGCTGTTGGAGGGTGGTCCGAATGGCTAGGGAGAAGAAGAGGGGGCCGAGGGGGTCTCCTTGTCTAACCCCTTCCGAGGAGGTAATTACCGTGCCGTCATACATCACTAGGGCTGCTGGCTCGTTGTAGGCCCATCTAGCTGCCTTGTAGAACTCTGGGGCATAGCTTAGGATCCCGTGGGCTACCGCTGCTCGGGAGACTGAGTTGAAGGCGTTTTTAAAGTCCATAGAGCAGACGTGGGTGTATCCTCTAAGGTTTCCATCTACCGCGTGTCCTAGTAGGTGTATGATTGGCTCTACCCCGCCGGGGCTCTGTACCCCTAGCTGGAAGGGGGCTAGTTGGTCCTTAGAGAACTGTTTTTGGAGGAGGACCTTAGCTACCAGCCTATAGATGAGCTCTCCTACTGCAATTGGCCGGACCCCGCTATCTTCCTTATCTAGGGCTACAAGCCTCGATGCGGTAAGTAGCTGGTTCCCTGGTGCTAGGCCGTTCTGTACCTGCTTGCAGAGGTGGGTAAGAAAGTCTACCACCTGTTTATGCTTACAGGCTTCCCTTAGTAAGGGGACTGACCAGCCGGATAGGCCAGGNGCTGTATCCGGGGCAAATGAGGCCAGGGCTTGTAAGATGTCTTCCGGGAGTGGCCTAGGGCCTGGTCTAGGGCTCGCGGAGGAGGCAAAGGGGTAGGGCTGCCCTTCCGGGTGTTTTTCTCTTAGTTTGGCTAGTATATCCGCCGAGTTCCTAGCTAGGGTTGAGGGGTCTACTAGTGCCCTTGCAGCTCTGCCTAGATAGCCCTTTTCTACCAGTCTTTGGGCTCTAGAGCGGGGGTATCCCGGCGGTTGTCTGGCTGGCCTAGAAATTCCTGGGCCCTATCGGTTTCTACGCGGCTTGGCGGGGGTAGCATTAGGTCCGGGTAGTGCTGTAGGACGTATTGGGTGCTAAACTCCTCCGATTGGATGCCTAGGGTAAGGCCAGCCTTCGGTAGTAGTAGGAAGTCTAGCAGGTGTTTCTCGGTAGGTTGGCGTGTGTATCTAGAGGCACACCTGGCCGCGGCGGCCACAAAGCTAGCGGCTTGGCTGCCACGGAAGGTGTGGTCCTTTGCCTGTACGTGGTTGTATCCAAATAGCTGTTGTAGATACTTGTTTCGGGGCTGGTAGGTGTTATACCGGTCTTGGCCTAGGCCTATAGGTATGTCTGCAACATCTGGTGGCGGTGGTGTATGTTCGTCTCCGTAGATAGGGCTAGTAGGCCCCTAGGTCCCTAGTGAGTAAGAGGGAGGTGCCGGTGTACTAGGGGAGGAGGGTGTAGGAGAGGAGGGTGTAGGAGAGGAGGGTGTAGGAGAGGAGGGTGTAGGAGAGTAGGCACTACTAGTGTTTCGGGGGCCGTCTCGGACGTGGATCTCGCTTTGGGCCGGTGAGCTATGGCCGCTAGGTAGGTTTGAGGCTAGGCCCTCGAGGAGGCCGATGGTAGACTCATTAGGAGAGCCATAGGAGGTGCCGTTTGGCGAGGGGGTAGGAGAGCGGTCTAGTAGGAGGGTAGGTAAAGGGGCTGGTTGGTATGTAGGTCGGCTGTCGGATTGGTTGCCGAGGATTTCCCGTTGTAGGCTACTAAGAGGGGTACTCGGCTGGCTGCCAGATAGAAGGTCTAGTAGCCTGGCGGGTGGGCTATCTAGACGAGGTGGTGTGTTATGGTAGGTATGTGTATTCCTCGCTCTTGGCCTTGCTCTGTTTCTTGCTAGCGATGGTGATCGGGAGGCGCGGCGGCGTTTGTTGGTGTTTATAAGGGCGGTAGCGGTAGATGGGGCTATAGAGGTATTTATAGCGGTAGGGGTCGAAGAGGTGGTAGGCGTCCGGCGGGTAGAGCGAGTAGGAAGGGTCTTTTTAAGCAGCCGGATTTGGACTGGTGGGATTTGATGCCATGTGAGGTTTGGCAGGGCTGGTAGCAGGTAGGGCAGGCGGTGAAGCCCATATGGGCGAGGGTAGAGAGGGGGACATGGAGGTGTAGGTGGTTTTTCTTGACGTGGTCCCATAGGTAGGCGTAGTGGCGGAAGCAGATGCGGCAGGTACCTGGTTTATCTTTTGCCATGGTGAGTAGTGAGTAGCGAGTAGTAACTATTGCGAAGCAACAGTAGGTATTGCGAAGCAACAGTAGGTATTGCGAAGCAACAGTAGGTATTGCGAAGCAACAGTAGGTATTGCGAAGCAACAGTAGGTATTGCGAAGCAACAGTAGGTATTGCGAAGCAACAGTAGGTATTGCGAAGCAACAGTAGGTATTGCGAAGAACAGTAGGTATTGGAAGCAACAGTAGGTATTGCGAAGGAACAGGAGGGAGGAGGCGAAGCAACAGTAGGTATTGCGGAAGCAACAGTAGGTATTGCGAAGCAACAGTAGGTATTGCGAAGCAACAGTAGGTATATATGAAGCAACGGGAAAGGCAAGGTGAGAGAGAAGTGAATGAATGAATGGATGGATGGATAGATGGATAGGAAGAGGGAGGGAGGAGGAGGAGGAGGGAGGAGGGAGGAGGGAGGAGGGAAGGAGGGAGGGAAGGAGGGAGGGAAGGA